ATTTAACCAAATAAATAAATGTAAACAAGCATAATATAATAATAAATAATTTTAAAAGCCAATAAACATTAAAAATTGAATATTAATAAATTATAATATGTGAATATAAATATATTTTATTATTATTAAAATAAATCAAAGATTTCCAGAGTTTAATATAGTAACCTTTGCTCTGGAGTTTTTTAACGATGACAGAGATTCTCTGGAGGTCTATGTCTGAAGATTTTTAGAGATCTTTGCTAAAAAATTTCCTGATATAGTATAAAAAAAAAGGAGAAGGTTATCAAATTACTTTTAATTAAGAGAATACTATAATACTTTGCTCTTCTTTTTTTCTAATTATATTATCATTGTTATAATATATAGTAAAAAATATAAAGAATATATATTTATTTATTTTTCTATTATATATTGATTAATTAATTTAAGATTTTAATTAGTTATTAACTGAAGATTCTAATATAATCAAAATTCCAAAGTCAAACTGAAATAGATAAAAATGTTCAAAAATTTTACAAAAATTTGTTAATATATTATATTTGAAAAAACTACTATAGACATTTAATTGATAAATAAAATTATGTGTTCATATATATAAATTAAAATATTAATTTATTTATTTGCTTTTAAACAAAAGATTTTTATTTATAATAGATATAAGATTCTTATAAAACTTGAAATATATATATTTGCTAATGAATTTTATTATTAAAATAGCTATAAAGTTTTGAAAAAAAAAAAATAAACAAGTAAAAGAGATGTTTGTTTTTAGAAATATATATTGTTAAAGAAAGTATTTAGACTTTGTGTTAAAAAATAAAAAATATTTTTAAAAATATGTATTTGTTTTTTGAATTGGTAAAAGAATTAATAGAAAGAATTTTTTTTTGTTATCTAACTATAACTATGAATATTTAATATTTTTTTTTATATATATTATATAACTTTGAATAAATATTTATAATTGCTTAATATTTATTTTTAATATATATCAATTTTATTATATATTTTTCTTTATTATTATGTAAACTATATAAACAAGTTATTATCAAATTTATTGATCAACTGATTACACAAAGACATTGTTATACTTTTTACGCAGTATATAAAAATCATATACAATATATCTTGATAACCTATATTTATTTATTTATTTTAAAAAACAAAAAAAAAACGAATCTAAATAGACAACAAATTTTAAAATCTTTTGATTTTTTTTTAAAAAATAAATAAATTAGATTGTATATCTGTTGTGTAAACTTATTTCACAAGGTTATGATTTTTTAATAACTAATTTTTTAAATAAAAATTTTTAATTTTAATATTTAAAAATAAATTGTTGTTATCATTTAAGAAGAGATACTGTATTTGATAATAAAAAAAATTATTTTTAATAAATGATCATTTCAATTTATTGAAACACTTAAATTATATAATATAGTTAATAAATTTAATATCAAAATCTTGACGTTGATTTTTGTTTGCAAAATTATAAAGATAACTTTTAAATCAATCAATTTTTTCTTGTACTTTTAAATTGCCTTGTCAACATATCATTATATTTCCTTAGATTGGTTTCAAATAATTTTTTTTACATTACGCGAATGTTTTTTTTTCATCTACCATCCTAGAGCCAAATGCCATTCGAGGCAAATGGCATATACTTTCGTGAAGGAAAAAAATATATATACTACATATACTGTATATATTTATATAGTATCTGCGAAGAGAAAAAATGTGGTAAAAAAAAAATGTGGAAAAAATGCGTGGGAAGTTGAATGGTAAGAATAATTTCAAGCGCATTGACATTTATGTAAATCTCATTGTCTCGTTACACGATGTATTGCTGTACTCAAAGTTATCTCGCGCCATTGCTACTGACATAGATCATTAAAGGTGTTTACCTTAACATATGAATGCGAAAAAGACGCCCATCACCATCTCTCGGTCATATGTTGCGTGTGCATATACGTGTTGCATACGTACGCAGCGCCTAAACCAATCGTAGGAGCATAACAAACGGCTACATCTTTTGTTGCCAATTTAAGGCCTAACCTCCAGCCCTGTGGTCATATATGGACGTTTGGATCGATTATTGTCACACCGGATCATGTTACTTAATCTGTTAAGCTCGCATCGCGCTGAATGCAATATCGGAATGATTTTTTTAAAAAAAAGCTCCTTCCATGATGAAATTCGACGATGATAACGTGTCCGCGATAAATTGAACATTTTCTCACCCAAGAAAGTGCAAAAGGGGTTGGCGCTGATAACTTGTTTTTTTTTTTGCATTGGTTGTTGGCGTCCGCCTTGCCAATCAAGGTTAAAGTTCACGATGCGATGCTTACACGACATACCAATGATTACCATAAAGGATCATAAATACTCCGAGAAAAAATAGCTATATTGCACTTGGCATAAATCGAGACCTGCGGTAATGTAAATAAAGGTTATTTCGTTTTGTGTGAAGAAAAAGGATATATTTTTGGATGACATCAATGTGATCAATAATATGAATAAGTGCGTGAGAAGAATTGTTGAGATGGCACTGGATGGTGCGCATGAAAGGGTATATAAGAAGCATTTATTCGCAAGCACTCAAATCAAATCAACAGAAATTCGAATCTCACACAAAATGTCCAAATATAATAATAAGACATCACTCGTCTTCCTATCGCTTGTTGTACTCATACTCTGCTTACCAACCTTCGCCATCGGCAGACATGTATCACCATTGTCACTGCTAGACTTGGACCTCGATTCGTCTTCGTCTTCATCGCATCAACACACACTCCGAGACCACAGACCGCCACCACCACCACCACACCGACCAAAAGCAAACCGAGCGTGGGTAAGTTTTTCGAGCCCACCGGACATTGTCAAGGGAGTTGTGGTGTTCTGGGAGACGTCCAAAAATAATACGATCGTCGCGGGGCAATTTAGTACCGGATTCACGGAGGGAGAAGAAGCGGAGTACACATTCAAGTTGTATAGGGGATCCAAGGAGGTCATCGATTTGAAACCGGCTGATGACTTGCTAGATAAATTGCTTAAGATCCGACCCGACGGAGCTACGGATTTCTTCTTGTTCACCATTGAGGATAGTTTGTTGGTTAGTGGGGACGACTCGATCTTGGGCACGACCTTTGTGGTTGGTCGTCCTGGAGTGTTGCTTGGAAAGAATCAAGTTGGACCACTGAGCTGCCATCAGTAATGAATGTGGACCGTATGGAATAGGGAGATAACGGATGGATGTTGATATTTAAGGTTTTCGTGTCACGATGGTATTCTGTTGGCGGCTTTGTGTCGCTCATGTGTGTGGTTTTCACAAGAATTTTTAATAAAAGCATCCCGGAAGTAGGGATCTTAAAGTAAATAAAGAATGTACACGTATTTGAGTTACAATTGTTACAATTGTTACGATGTTACAGATACATTATAAAGGTATTCCGAATGTATGATGAATGTATGCAACAGCACGTGTAAATTTTCGGTTCATAACATTGAAAAACACATTTATTTGTACACGTGTATACGCCCATTTTTTTATGTTTCAAAAATCTACCGTGCGCGATCAAAATTTTTGCTCGCGACGCCGAATACCCATATAAAATCTATTATTTGTGTCGAATGCAACTTTTGTCTATCCGTCTATCTACTACTACAATTGAAAGTTGAAAAGAATAAAGGTTCTTTTTGATAAACTCAATGTTTCTCGTGATCAGTTTTTCTAATAGATTGTGCATTCATCATCTACATTGGTCCATACCAGCCGTAAAAACATCCGAAGCAAATTAAGAAATATTTACAGGAGAAAAAAAAAAAAAAAAAAAAAAAATTACAATCTAATGGAAATAGTCCGATATAGAAATATCGGACACCATTTGCGACGATTAGTAGTGCGTACTGCATTTGTTTCCCTATGTGACCACGTACAAGGAAAAAGAGGCGCACAAGTAAAACAAGCACAGTATATGGACATTCAATGAATTTTAGAAAAAAAGAAAGAAATGCTGCGGATTCAAAGGAGATACTGTGGTGATCGCGGAAAATGAATGTTTCGATCATCACAGTATTGGATGTTGATTAGAAGGCGGAGAGCTACGTGAAAATAAATAAATAAAATGTGCATATTAGTTTGCGGGCTAGACCAAATAGGTGAATTGACTAACGTTAAAAATGAACATTGTTTACCTTGGGGACGTGGACATACGCCTCATCGTTGTAGGTTGGCATGTAAAAAAAAAAAAAGCCTTATGGTGATTTAGGATCGAACGCCCTTCGCGCAAGGCAATCGTTATCGCCGAAAGCCTCGTAGTTCAAATGGAACTTGGTTGTGTCGTCAGTAATTAAAGCCTTCTTACAACGACAAGCCCTTACTCTTTGTTACTTGTGAGATCTGACGGGCTTATCGCAACCGTTGTTCGGTTGAAGTGAAATGAGTGAACCTCGGTGGGATGGGCGAGGATATTTTTGATGTACCTGGCTTTTTGTTTTGCTGAGCAACCAGGCACGGCAGCAATTCTTTCGTGGATAAAAAAAAATCTTTTATTATTATATATATATATATATATATATTTTTTTTTTTTTTTGTTGTTTTTTTTTTTTTGTTTTGAAAGTACTTGAAAGAAAAAAAAAGCCTCGTCGGTGCGCTTATATATCAAACGCTTCTGAAATAAAGATCCCAGTTTTAAAGGAAGTTTACGCAATGGCAGAGGAATCCCCGCCGTTGGTTGGCGAACGTATCACGATCGAATTCCGAAAATTTTAAAAATAGGCACATAAATAGAATGTATATATGTTTATTACCAAATAATGGGCATTGTTCTATTTAATAAAAGAATTTTATTAAGTAATTCACTTTCTAAACACTGATTTCAAGTTCGTGAATTGTTTCCAAACTCGATCATTCTGGGTGTTACCACCAAACGGTTGATTATCTCGCACGACCATGTTTCACAGAATTTTGACAGCCCACCCATTCCAAGGTAGTTGTGGGATGATGGATAACAAGTTTCGACACTGATGATTTTATTTTTGAATCTCTTTCTTCACGTGTCTTGAGAATTGAATCTCATGCTTCATGACTCTTCGTGACTCGAGATGACTGCAGAAAGTGAGGGAGGTGGCAATTAAAAAAAAAAAAGATATCGCTTCAGAAGTTATTCCGCTGTCTTTGTGTTGCAAATTGCCATCCAATTAAAGTCACATGAATTTATAGAATTCATGATTGAACGTAACATGCTCATTCAAGCCTCTTATTCGCAAATTTTTACAATATTCAGTATTTAATGGTTCGAATTGTGAACACCGTGATATCAACGTTTTCGTGGGAAATTGAATTCAATTGCGCCCACCGAAGCCGCCCAATTCTCTAAACATCTGTGGTGGCTTCAAAAGTCGTGGGTTCTGATAACGCAGCGACTCGTGTGATGATTGATTTGCCACGCAAATTTCCCGAGATCAGGGTTTTTGGTTCTCTGTATGTGGCTTGGTGAACCGCGCGAGGAACTGCCAAGGTATGTTTTTGGAGAAACACACACAAGTTATGACTGAAATGCAAACTTTGGAAATTTCAACGTCTCGAAATATCGCGAACAATCAAAGAACATAATAGTAGAACGGGATCATATGCTTTTTTCGTTTCAAAATACAAACTTACCGAGTTTAGCGTGTTTTTACCTTAGATAGGTTCTGTCATGATGGCATGTGACGCGCAATCACAAAAGTTCTCGCCAGGCCTCATCCTTAAAGGAACACAATTACCCACGCCACTCTCAGTTCGTGGTGGCAACAATTTTCTTTTCCTCTTTTTCTTTTCATTTTTTTTTTCCAACGGGTGACTTGAAACAATTTCGGAAGTCGTAAACATTTGATTCATCCGTGTGTAAAAAACAATTTACCATAATATCCGTCGCAGCAAGGGATATCGGTTGAACTCTCCTGTGCGGTACGAAAATGACCAAAAACGTCATTGCTGAGGCTGCCAAAATGAGCCCTTCCCTGTTCACTATGAACACAATACAGGAATGTTTCACAAAAATCTAACGTTATCTTCGATCCACATAATATAATATTGTCATTTAAAAAAAAAAAACGACCATTGTTTCACATCTATGTACTGTACATAGTGGTTAATTGGGTTCTAAGTATCGATATATATAGAACTGTTCGCATTTGGCGTTCCGCCTTGAATCAGGTCATGAAAACGACAATTGTGAAAGATCACCCGGTAGAAGGAATCATGTCAAGTGAAAAGAGTCAAACAGTTGGGAAATAGCTTTGCATCGAATATTAAGATGCGAAAAGAAGACTTGACACATCACAAAGAGGGATATGCACCGTATCTGGAATAAATAAACTTATGAACGTCGCCTACCGATTTTCTCCGCATACTGTATCTGTAATTTGGGAGTCTTTTTTTATCGTAATCGCTTTTTGACTCATTCCGACTTTTTTGGTTAAGTTGATACACGCGCATGCATACAGGGCAGGATACGGTTGTGAAACCTTACGTACGCATTTAAAATCCTCAACCATAAAAGTACTAAGGTGCCAAACAAACAACACCTGACCTAAACCGCGGGCCGATCTAAAAGCAAATTTATGCATCACATTCAGAGAACTTTCTTGTAGAGTTTAGCACCAGGAGATCAGCGAGATAACCGACAAGCCCCTGAACGTTTCGTTCTCTCATGTCAAAAAGGTTTGTCACGATATCGATGCGCTGACCAAGGAATGAATAACTAATGGATGAATGAATGAATGATCCCGTAAACTCCCCGCTTGTAGGCAAGTAACATTTCGAACACAGCCTTATTTTTCCTATGACTTCATCTCATGACTTACTCCATCTACTAAGGAAATTAGTATTACGGACACATGTGCGACCTTTTCGGTTTCTCAGGAAAAAGCTTAAAAATTTTTTTTAATTATAATGCGAGTGGTGTATGCACGTTGCCGTTACGATAATACGCAAGTGTTTTGAAAATTCGCATATGGACATCCTGTCGTATGTGGTGACATATTGCATGTAACAAACATTTATTCAATTTCTTTTTTACGCAACCAGCCGACCCACCAATAAATATAAAACTGTTGATTTTTTTTTCTTTTTTGGATCAAAGTTCCTTAAATCTTTTTTTTTTTTTTTCTCCAACACATCTTTTCCCAATACGCATTCACTTCTCTCAAAGAACTGGTCGGAGGGTGAATGTCCGTGCACACTTCACATTATCAATGAGATAATCAGAAATCTAATGATACTTTTTTTACGTATAAATACCATACGTATAGGGTTTTGATTCAGTACAACTTGAATAAACTTTTGCCACGACTGAAAATTATTAAACACGCACAATAAACTGACCCTAAATCTTAATTGTGTGCTTGCTCATTAATGCTTTTTTAGTTAGCCACATCAATAAGTACAATAAATATATAGCGCAAAACGCTTTTTTTCCAAGGTTTTTTTTTTTTTCTCGACCTTACACACATATTCACACGAGACAATGTTGTTCTTCCTTTCAATATTCATTGCACAAATATTTGTCCCTCCACCACCTTACCAAACGAACGTCGGCACCTGCGAGAAATCTATGGTCAAACAGAGGCGACGAGCATTCTCACATAAGTGTGAGAGATTGAGTGAGACGATCAACGAGAAGGAGCAGATTTTTGTGACGAGCGAGGACGAGGGGGTTGAGGAGGAAAATTTTAACAGAAGTATGAACAAGGATGATATTATTTTAATTAAAATTTAGTCGCCCGGAGGATTGATTGTGAAGGAAAGATTATAGACGTTGGTCATATAAAAACATGATGAAACATCGGTTTTATTTTTTTTTCTTCTTCTTAAAAAAAAAAGGCATTCGCAATATTTACAGAAAAAAAACATACACTTCATTGTAGATATACTTTCACACATACAACATATTTATCATCTCGCTAGGTTTCGTAAACCATATACCATTAGGAATCACATAAAAACATTTTCTTGATGGCAGTGTACTACTTATGTCGTTTCTTTATAAAGAATGCTTTGTGTATTATTATATTATAATGTTCTGGTTTAATCCAAGGGTTAATTTAATCAGAAATTTTTTTTTTTTTTTTTTTTTTTTTTTTTTTTTTTTTTGAGATAATTAAGTGATGTTAATTTGAATCAAAAAACCTGCTTTTCATTTACTCTTCTAAAACGGGCGCGTCGTTCATTGCCGAGCCATGCACTAAGCCATGCATCGTGAATCCCTCGGCGCATTACACTCACAATAAATAATAATCAAGAATGATCAAAACGAAGAAATGCAAAAAAAAAAAATTCAAGAAATATCATCCGAAAATTTTACAATGAACGAAATTAATGAAATTCCTTTTTTTTTTCGAAACCGACCTCACCACTTGAAATTCAATAAACGAATTCAACTTTTCGAAATATTATATGATGAGCGAATAATATAAACCCAAAAGGAACATGCTGTACTTCGTGTACGATACGTCAAAATCTATTTTTTTTTTTTTTTCCTTCTAATCAATAAGAATTCAGATGGAGTGTACAGATGATCAATTTAGGTAAAGGGTTTACCTTGTTCGGGATGTCCATCCGTTTCGTGAAGATGCTCTTCATCCATCACATCTTGTGAATGGATTTGTGAGAATGAGAATAAGGTAACGATTACCAGCAGCAAGCTCGTTATGATAAACAAAACCAGCAAAGCCGTGATGACCTGTGAGCGTGTGAACTTCGCGAACCTCATTTTTTCTTGAAGAGGGAAAAAGGTACTCGAGTATTGCTCGCATGTGTTTTTTATTGTTCGCAAAAAAAAAAAAAAAATAGAAAAAACAAAACTTTCATGCCACACTAGCGTCAACGTAATGGCTTAGGGCACGAGATAACTGTCATGGCGCGGGCGAATATGACCAAATGTCACGAATAATCGACTTCCCCCGTGTGTGTGTCACGCATGTTTTACGTGTGAGCGACGATGATTAAGAATGCATTCGTGCGTCATGTGGTAAACACGAAAGGAAATAGTAGTGTCACACTGCAAAGCTCGTGTTAAAGGAGACTAGTACTTTTGTGTGTCGTTGAATCTTGTAAACATGAATTATTATTTTTTTAATGTTCAACGTATTTTCGTTTTAAAGGATGGGATAATAAATGAACAAAATGTTTATGTACAAAGATGAAAAGAATGACCAGCATACCAAGCACACTTCCAGGTCAAATGCTTATTTTGAAAAATCGACCTTCCTATTTTCCCATCACCACCGCTGCTAATCTAAACTCCTTCTGATCGTCGTTTCGCTCTCGTTTGAATTTCCGGAACCTCTTTCTCATTTGTTCTCTCTTGTCTGATTCCTAAAATTCCTCCGCTTCTCCAACTCTCCCAAAATCACATTTCCGATACCACCTTTCTGCACCTCTCCTTCACCCTTCCCGTTGTTGTTCATCTTTCCGTTTTTCGAGGCGAACTCCTTACCTCTCCCCCTAATCTCGGTCTTAGCCTCCATGATCACATTGTCACCGTCACGCTTTTCGCATTCCTGAAATGAGACATCTCCATCCACTTCGGTAACTTCAAGTACCGATTTTTCCAGCACATATTTCTCGTATGTTGCCCCGTGATTCACGCTTTTACTTCGCCGAAAGTAGACACCTTGAACATGCAGAAAGTATCCGATTACCAGTACGGTCAAGAGTGCTTGAGTGACCAGGAAATAGGCTAGCGGTTGCGGAAAGAGGGGTTGCGAGGGCGATGTATCCACGAATGTCATTTGGAAGGAAGAATGAATTTTGACTCCGGCGAGGGAGAATGCAGGTAAGGTCGACCATGATGTTAAATATGTTTTGGGTACAAATGAAAAAAAAATCCGGTAATTCCTCTGGATAATTAATTATATTATTTATTGTAATTATTTAAAATACCATTTCGAGTTTTAATAAATTGCGCTGCGCTCGGTACGTGCTTACGTACAATTTTAACAAACACTTCTGCTGTATGGATATATTCAATAAGGAAGTTAAACCCAAGCCTATGTGGCTTTTCCCCCAGGCTTTGCAAAAATTCGAACCTAAATAGATTATCCCATACCTGTATTTGTGGGGCATCCTATCGAGCAATGAGATCTTTCTACGTGGACAATCAACCCGCATTTCTTTTTCTTTTTTCTTTTTTTTTCGATAAGGTTCAAATTGACACAGAATTACAATGACTCTCTTACATAATCGTGCATTGTAAATTTCTTTATAAATTATTAGGAAAGTACTGTAATTGAAGTTTAAATCTATTTTGATTACAAAAATTATATACAATATATCTTGTTTTATTAATAAAATCCATGTTTTAAATATTGATTATTATACCTGGTACTGTATTGCAAGTTTTTTGATATTCATTCGCTATTCTAAGATTTGTATTGATAATACCAAAGACAAGTAAATTTACATTAAAGTTTAAAGTGTTTAAAAAATTATAAAATCATTGATTTATAAATATATCATATTATAGGTTTATAACTTAAACATCATCCATAGCTCTAACTCATTTAACATATAATATATCACAAACCAATATAAAAATTTTATACGTGATAATCAACTAAGTATGTTAAATATATAAATAATCAAACATAAAAATATATGATAATATACAGTATATTTATTTATAACTTTAATATAATTCATAACTTTAATCTTCAATCTAACATATACAGTATGGTACAAAAAAATGATGATTTTTTGATAATTATATTTTACTTGATAATTCCATAAATGATTTTTTTTTTCTGATTTAATATTTTGTTAATCTATTTTTGAAGATTTAATAATAAAAAATTAATTAACTAACTAATTTTTAAATATTAATTAGAATTTTTTAGTATGTTTTGTTTAAAGTTACAAATATCATTATAAAAGTTTGATTAATAAATAAGATTATAAAAATTTTTATAAAAAAAATTTATATAAAATTATTAAACATATTTAGAAATATTTATTTAATATATTTTTATTTTTATAAAATTTTTTAATATAAAAAACAACAAATTTTTTTTACCTAAAAAAACTTTCTTCTAATCATGTCTGTTTTGTTAAAAAATTTTTTTAATAATAATTTTAAGCATAAAAAATATTTTATATTCTTTATCACAAATAAAATCTAGTTTAAAAACTTAAAAACCTTTAAAACAACTGATATAGTAAAATAAGACCTTTGATCAAAGTTTACTCAAGTTTGAAAGTCTTGCTTATCTTTCGATTACATAAAAAAAGACCTGTGACAATTCTCTATTCTTTTGTTTTATTGCATCTCTTCTTACTTTTATTTTATTATAAAAATTATTTATATTATTATTATTATACTTATTAAATCAAATATTTTTCAAAATATGCATTCAAACAGAATTATTTAATCTACTGTTTGTTTCAAATCAATTTTCAAATTCAACTATATCATAATGATACTTGTTGTATTATTTCAAATTTTTTAATATTTTTTATAACCAAAAAACTAAAATAAATTTATTTCTTTTAGATAATTAATGTTTTTCAACTATCTAATCAAATTTTGATTAAAAAGCAAACAAAAATTAAATTTATTTAAACTGGTTTTTTATAACAATAATAATATCAATTATATTACTACTGACAACTATAATAACAAACAATATTATGTATATTCTATTATTTATAATAATCATAAAATCAAAGAAATAGAATCATAAGCCTGTCTGAAGATTCTCATAAAAAATAATTGGTTTTCTATTTATAGATTCTATAATTTACTTTATTTAGTTTTAGTTTTAATTATATTTATTTTTTTTCTCAATTATTTTACTTGCAAATTTATAAAAAGACTATAAAATTTTTTAGATAGGTAGACATAGTCAATATTCAGATATAGTTAATATATAATATTATTTTGAATTTCTTTTTTAATATTAGTTAGATATATATAGGCAAGTTAGCATTTAACTTTCTGAAATATTAAAAGAGATATTATTTTTTTTATGATGTATATCTTGAATTAATAACAATATACATTAATATATCTCTTAAATCATAGGACATTTTTTTTATAACATTTAAAATTTTTTAATTAAAAAGTTACTTTTCATTTATTTTTTTAAATAATTAAAATATTTTTCTAAAAATTTATAT